ACATTTTATATGTTATGTATATATATGTATATATGTATGTATATATATATATATATATATATATATACACAAAAATAAATAGATCAGATACACAAAAAGACCAAATTTAGAGGCCAGGTGTGGTGGTACACACCTTTAACCCCAGCAGAGGCAGGCAGAGCTCCGAGTTTGATGCTGATCTGGTCTACATAGCAAGTTCCAGGCCAGCCAGTGTTGCATAGTGAGACCCTGTCGTCCCCCCAGAAAAAAACTTTAAAAAAAGGGCCAAATTTAATTAAATTTAAGATCAAATTTACTTAAAGAAGAAAAGAGTTGTGAGACCTTTGGCCATGACAACTTCCTGCCTTCCTTTAGCTCTGTCCATTTTTGCTCTGTGCACTTGTGGCCCGACTTTAATGCCTGTACGTCTTTAGTACTGAGGTATCTTCATCTTCAGTTTGACATGTGGTGGAGTCTCTTTGCCGACATCCACTGCCTTTCTTCCTTATAACATTCCTCAATCTGAAGCCTTTTTAAATTTAATTTAATTTTGAGACAGTCTCACTTTGTAGCTCTGGCTGGCTGGAACTCACTATGTAGACTAGGCTGGCCTTGAACTCACAGAGATCTCTCTGCCTGCCTCTGAGTCCTGAGTCCTGGGGTTAAAGTGTATACCTCCATACTTAACTGTTTTTTTTTAAGTTTTTATTTATTTTTATGTGTATGTTTGTGCTTGTATGCGTTTATGTGCACCACGCATATGCTGGCGCCTGTGGAGGCCAGAAGAGGGCGCTGGATCTCTTAGAACTGAAGTTGCAAACAGTCGTGAGCTGCCATGTGGATGTTGGAAACTGAATCCAGGTCCTTTGTAAGAGTAGCCAGCACTTTTGACCATTTCCCTTCCTCCAGCTGTGTTTTTTTCTAAAAGTTATTATTAATACATATATTTACTTGTGTGTGTGTGTGCGCGCATGCGCGCACATATGGAGGTTAAAGGACAGCTTGTAGGGTTGGCTTCTCCTTCCACCATGTGGCTCCCAGGGTTCAAACTGCAGTTATTGGCCTTGGTGGCGCATGCCTTCACCCACTGGGCCGTCTCAGCAGCCCTGAGTCCGTCTTTGTAGGAAACGGATGTAACCATTCCAGCCTGCTTTCTTACCCTTTCTGCCTGTCCACCACCCCTTTTGGAGGTAGAGACTCCCTATGTGGTCCAGGCTGGTCCTGAATTTGTGGCCCTCTGTCCTGTCTTCCGAGTGCTAAGGGTTTCTTTGGTCTAGAGTGGCATAGTCTTCCCATGTTCTTCCTTTTAATATACCTGTGTCACTAAAGTGGGTCAGGAACTTGGGTCTTTCCCTGATCGCACATGACCATCTGTCTTTCGCTCTTACTTGGCATATTAGCTGCTTACAGTTAGTGTGATTACTGAGAGCCTGTGTTTCATCTGCCGCATCCTTACTCTCTGCCCCTGATTTTTCCTCTAATGCTGCCTTCTGGGGCATCTGAATGTGGACTTCCATTTTTGACCTGTTGAGTTTGAGAGGTGGTTCCTGACAAGGGTCTGGGCTGGGAGCGGCTGTTCTGAAGCAGGGCCTTCCCCCACCCTAGCGGGCAGACTAGATACGGTCAGTCTCAGGGTCTAGACTCAGTCTTCCCAGCTCTTGAGGAGTCTGACGAACCTTGGTTGCACCCCTTGGGAAGAGAGCGGTCTGTGGTGGAGAAGAAAGAGGGAGGCAGGATTGGTAGACAGGGACTCAGTGCCCTGTGGCGCCCCGTCTTCTGCTTCAGACAGCTGAAGAAGGGGAGCAAGCAGGCATCTGCATCCTATGACTCAGAAGAGGAGGAGGAGGGCCTGCCCATGAGCTATGATGAAAAGCGCCAACTAAGCCTGGATATCAACCGGCTGCCCGGCGAGAAGCTAGGCCGCGTGGTGCACATCATCCAGTCCCGGGAGCCCTCGCTCAGGGACTCGAACCCCGATGAGATTGAGATTGACTTTGAGACCCTGAAACCTACCACGCTGCGGGAACTGGAGAGATACGTCAAGTCTTGTTTACAGAAAAAGCAAAGGAAACCGTTCTGTAAGTTGTCCGCAAGTTGCTGCGGCCTTCCTGTCCCCGCATCTTGCAGGCCCTGGGGGAGGGCACTGGGTCCACATCTACCTTGCTCTCCAAGCCTTCTTGAAGCCTGCCTGCCTGCTGCAGGCCCAGAGGACACAGGTCGCGTCAGCCAGGGCAACCCCCACCCCTACCCCTGCTCTCAGGCAGGGAAGATGACTAACCTGGTCTTAATCTGCCTGTAGAAAGCAGGACCTCAGGCTGGCCCTGGCCTATCCGTTCAGGTCCCATCAGGGCCCCTCCAGCTGAGGCCTTGGCTAGGGAAGAATCAAGCCCTCTTGACTGGTCAGGTGTCCAGAACCACTACAGGATGGACTCCGACACTGGCTAAAGTGCCCCTGGAATTCAGTGGTTTCACCAGACAGTAACCTGGGGTTGCAGGTGCAGGCTGGGAGGGAGGGCAGGCCCAAGGCAGCTCATCACTGTTCAGGGCTGGTGAGGCTCCTGCCGACCTGTTTGTGGCTGTTCAAGTGCACTTGATCTTCCCTCAGTCTGGGGCAGGCAGCTTCCTTCCTCAGATGGACTGACTTGGAGATGGACGAATGTGGTGGTGGGGATGAGCTCTCAAACCTTGTCCGTCTCTGAGGGAGGCTCAGGCAGAAGGGGAGCAGCAGTTATACTGAGAGAAGACTGGGTCCGAGGGTCTGTGCATCAAGCTGTGCATCCCCTTCCCATGGGAACAGAGGCCAAGCCATGCCCTCTGTGTACCTGCTGGTCAGTGGGGTGGTCCAGGCTCCATGTAAAGATGAGGGTATGTGTCAAGGAGTCAGTAGATGCGGTAGTGGTGGCGCCAAGTCACCCCAGGGTTTCCTGTCAATCGGGGATCTGAGGACGGATCCACACTGTAGACACATTAGCCAGGAAAGGAGGCAGGCGCTGCATGTACCAGTGTGTGGGGCTATGGCTTCAGCCGCCTGGATGACCCTGGCTCTTGGGGTAGCTGCAAGGGAATGTCGTTGCCTCACCCGTCCTCACAGCCACAAGCGGGAAGAAGCAGGTATCCAAATCGAAGGAGGAGCTAGCTCAGGAGAAGAAGAAGGAGCTGGAGAAGCGGCTGCAGGATGTCAGCGGACAGCTGAACAGCAAGAAGCCTGCCAAGAAAGGTACAGTCCAGGCCTGCTGGTGTCAGGTCAGCAGTTGCAAGGGCCAGGAGGGTGTTCAAACTCCTTACACCTCTTAGCTTTACCTGTGTCTGGGGAGCCTCCTCCTTGGCCCTCGGGTGGTGCAGAAGCTGGGGTGTGTGGGTGGGGGGTGTGCATAAGGGTTCCTGAAGGTCCATGCGTGCGTGCGTGCGTGTGTGTGTGTGTGTGTGTGTGTGTGTGTGTGTGTGTTGGTTCCTGAAGGCCCATGCGTGTGTGTGCGTGTGTGTGTGCGTGTGTGTGTGTGTGTGTGTGTGTGAGTGTGTGGGTGTGTGTGTGTGTGTGTGTGGTCTTCTGGGCCCCCGCGTGTGTGTGTGTGTGTGTGTGGTCTTCTGGGCCCCCGCGTGTGTGTGTGTGTGTGTGTGGTCTTCTGGGCCCCCGCGTGTGTGTGTGTGTGTGTGTGGTCTTCTGGGCCCCCGCGTGTGTGTGTGTGTGTGTGTGGTCTTCTGGGCCCCCGCGTGTGTGTGTGTGTGTGTGTGGTCTTCTGGGCCCCCGCGTGTGTGTGTGTGTGTGTGTGGTCTTCTGGGCCCCCGCGTGTGTGTGTGTGTGTGTGTGGTCTTCTGGGCCCCCGCGTGTGTGTGTGTGTGTGTGTGGTCTTCTGGGCCCCCGCGTGTGTGTGTGTGTGTGTGTGGTCTTCTGGGCCCCCGCGTGTGTGTGTGTGTGTGTGTGGTCTTCTGGGCCCCCGCGTGTGTGTGTGTGTGTGTGTGGTCTTCTGGGCCCCCGCGTGTGTGTGTGTGTGTGTGTGGTCTTCTGGGCCCCCGCGTGTGTGTGTGTGTGTGTGTGGTCTTCTGGGCCCCCGCGTGTGTGTGTGTGTGTGTGTGGTCTTCTGGGCCCCCGCGTGTGTGTGTGTGTGTGTGTGGTCTTCTGGGCCCCCGCGTGTGTGTGTGTGTGTGTGTGGTCTTCTGGGCCCCCGCGTGTGTGTGTGTGTGTGTGTGTGTGAGTGTTGGTTCCTGAAGGCCCATGCAGATGGGCTCCTGGAGAGAGCTCAGTTGTCAGGGTGGGCAATCTGTGGCCCCAAGCCCTGACCAGAGATTGGGGTGCACCAGACTGAAGTGAGCACGTGTTTTAACTCCTTTTTCTGGGTCCTTTAAGACCTTTTTTCTTGTGACTGCCTCAGGAGCTGGCTACAGAGGTACCCCCCCCACCCTGTCTCCTCAGAACAGCTGAGTTTAGGCAGTGGGGGGGTGGTTGGGGGGGTCCCCACCTAGATTTAATTGTGTGCCCACTGATTGCTGTGGCTTTGTGGGTTCCATCTTCCTGGTATCGTTTGAGGCAGACCGGTGATCCTAGCGCCTCGGGGTCTGTGGCGGTATGTGCCCAGGAGGGTCGGTGAGTGGCTACTGGATGCTGTGTTGGGCCCGCGCGGCCGCAGCTCCATAAGCTGTGCTTGGCGTCTCCCTCGGGCAGGTGGAGGTGGCGGCTGTCAGTTCCTTTCACAAGTGTTGAGTAGACCTCTGGGTCGCAGCGGGGGTGGTGTGCAGCTTGTCACTGTCGGTGGCCCAGCGAGCCCTCTCCCACGTGTCCCTGCAGAGAAGTCCGGCTCGGCGCCCTCGGGGGGCGCGTCTCGGCTCAGCAGCAGCAGCTCCTCGGAGTCGGCCAGCAGCAGCTCCAGCGGCTCCAGCTCCGACAGCAGCGACTCCGAGTGAGCGAAAGAGTGAGCGGGACGTGGACGTGGCCCAGCCGAGCCTGTGGCGCCGCTCCTGTGGCTGACATCCTACTTCTGTTCATGGTGTGCACGTTTCCTTTCCTTCAGTGTTAGATCTCTTCCAGCTGCGCTTCGGCAGGGCAGAGGGCCGAGCTCTGCGGGAGTCTCTGCGAGTCCGAGTGGCGGCTTGGAGGCTCCACTTGGGATGCTGACCCGATGACCCTAGACGAGGTGTGAGGCGGGGGACCTGCCTCACCTTCCTTACGCTCTGCCTGGCCTGTGACTTGGAAGATTCTCAAGAATATTTCTCTGGAATGGGTACTGTGTGTGAAAGCTGTTAGATGGACACTCACCAGCAGGCCACCTCTGCACAGAGGCTGAGGCCAGATGTGGCAGCCCATGGGAACCAGGCTGAGCCGCAGCTGTAGCCGCAGACCAGAGCCTTGCACCTCTGGATTGGGCTTGGAGGAAGCGGGAGCCGAGTTCTCGCTGTGTGGAAGGCGTGCAGGTTTCTGAACACTGAAACTTTTACCTCAACTTAAGGAGAAAAAGAAAATTAAAACAAACAAAAAAACCTTTTTTGTAAGTTCATCGATTTTCTACAGAAGTCCAGGCCAGCGTGCCCCACCCTGCTAGCGATGCCCTGCCCGGCTGCCGCCTCACGCTCTGGAACCACATCCTCAGTTTCATGTATATATAAATACTTTATTTATTAACATCATTGGTCATTTTTTTTAAAAAAAGAAAAAAAAAGAAAAACAACCATAAAGAAGTGCATTAAGAGATGCAGCAGTGTTGCAGGCCTGCAGCGGCGAGAAGGCCCGGCCTGCAGAGGAGGCCAGTCCCGAGGGAGGAGGTCGGACCTGGCCCGTCTGCAGCTAGGGGACTGGTCCTGTGGCGGCATGCCCGTCCGGTGCTCATCCATCTGTGCTCCTTGGGCTTTTTGGCTTTTTAAAAAATATATACATATATATATAAATATATCTAATTCGGGGACTTTGAGACGCAGACAACCTTCGGCTGTGACTTCATTTCTGTGTTGTCTGTTCAGTTCTTCTGTGTTCATTTCTGGTCTCTTTAAAAGAAATCAACTTAGGGAACCTCAGTTCTTTAACATAAGCTTTGTAAGCCGAGAGAAAAGAAAATGTATAGTAGCCAAGACCTTGACTTTGATTTTCTATTGTAAAAAGTAATAATATACAGAGTTTAACAGAAAGTTCTGTTCAGGTTTTTGTTTGGTTTTTATTTTGGCTTTTTTTTTTTTTCTGAGGCTGCTGAGTGCAGGATTGGCCTGCAAATTTGGCTCTAAGCATTGCAGCCTCAGCAGGGGCACACGCAGGCCAACCTCCCAGGCCTGTGAGCACTGGGGCCTCCAGCTTCTAGAGGTCTGGGCAGGGGCAGAGGTGGCCCTGAAGATCACAGTGGTTCCTGCTTAGTAATTTCCAGTTAGCTCAGACACAATTAAGGCAGGTGGTTCTTCTCCACTGCCACGAGAGAGCCAGGTGGGGAGCCGTGAGCTGTTCTGTCCATGGGTCCCACTTCTGGGCTTCTAGGTAGAGCTAGGGAGTCAGTCGCTCTTGGCCAGTGTCCCTGCATGAGGGAGGGGGTGCTTAAAATTCCGAAGGTCAATTCTGATTCCACCAGCCCTCACAGACCGACAGGCTCTAAAACTGGTGTTGAGTTTCAGAGGAAATGGCCGACAGGCTACGTTCCTAGATGCCTGGTGAGTTCTCAGCCAGCTCTTTAAACATGTAAGTCAGTTTTGTTTAAATAAAAAAGTGGATTTTAAGGTTCCATTTTTTTAAAGTTAGTCTTGTTTTTCAAAGGTATTTTCTAAACAGATCTTTAACAGAATATTTAAATTGTGACTTTAAGAAATTAACAGGATGAAACTGACAGGTCTTTACACAGGGTCTTGACGGTGGCCCTCCATGACAGCCTAGATGGCACACCTAGGCAAGGCACGGCTCCCGGGTGGGTCCCCAGGACCGTGAGTGTTGCCTGCCTTTGTGAGCTGTCGGGCAAGGAGCACCGGGCCCTGGAGCAGCAGCCCTGTTGTGTGCGGGGCTGACCGCCGAGTGGAGGGTCTGCTGGCTCCCGAGGTCTGAGCTCCCTCCATCCAGCCCCGTCATTGGGGCTCTTCCTTTTTAAAAGGCTTTCTGTCCAGACTTAAACTGTTTCTCTTCAGCGTTCTGGAGGGCCGGCAGCTCCCTCATCCTCCCGGATGTCAGGCTGTGGGGTGACTGCCATCCCCTTCTTCTGGGTGGGGAAGGCTGCAGGGACTCTGTCCTGTGCAGAGACAGAGGGCAGCTGTCCGAAGGCTTCCTTGTGGGGAAGGAGCAGGGGTAGAGGGTCACGTGCAGGGACCGGTGGGCACTTTGCAGTCTTGGAGGCTGAGGCGCGGGTTTTGGTGTCCAGCCCTCCTCGCTGGGTCCCCAGCTTGCTTACTGACTGAAGACACGTTTTCTTCTGTGGTCGCCCCCCTTGGTTTTGTTCTTTTACAGTTGTCGAACCTTTTATAGTCAGTTGGGAAATACAATGTCCATTGTCAGATGGGTCACCCCGTTTATCACCGTCCCCTGATACTGGCATAATGCTTCCAGAAGTTTTTCTTTTTTTTATATTTAAAATGTTACTTTTCTGTATGATGTGCATGCAAGTCTCCCGTAACTTTTCTTAAACTTTTTAGTGCCGTTTCTAGTATATTCCTGTAAATGTCAGTTAATGAGAATGAGTCCAATGTAAGTAGTTTTAGCTTGTTTTTTGCAATGCCGGCCTCAACACCACAGAGTAAAAAAAAAAAAAAAAATGATAGAAAGTACTCTGGTAATCATGGACCCTTCTCCCGGGGCGTTTGTTTTGTTTTCATAATAAAAACAAGGAAAAAAAACAAACAAAACTATATCCGTGTTCTACTCTCTGCTGCGGTGCCTCTGGTCAGGGCCACGTGACAAGCTCCCCTGCTTACACACAAAACATCCAAAAAGAGTTTCAAAAACCACTGCAAGCCAAATGTGCCACACACCTGTCCCAGCCTTCAGAGGCTCAGGCAGCTGGGACTGCCGTCCATTCTCCAAAGCCAGCCAGTGCTAGATAGGGAGAGTGAGGCCCTGTCTCAACAACAGCAAGAGACTCGATGCCAGGGCCCCATGGGTTCTGCACGATCTTGCTGAGCGCACCCCTCCCTTCACAGGCCTCTCCTGGACGGGCTGCCTTCCCAGAGGCCAGCTTCTCCTTCGTCGGCCTCACCTCATGCCTGTACCCTCCTTGCTGCGGTCTGCCAGCTGACCCCAGGGGTGCAGGCCCCGCGGGCATCAGCGTGGGAATACACAAGGGGCCTGCACTACTCACAGCAGGCCTTGGGCACAGTGAAGAAGGAACAGGGCCCGAGGTGTCCAGGGACTCTAATGCCGTTTTCCAAATGTCTATAGTCATTGGCACCAGGCCTGGGGAGGAAGTCCGTTTTGGGTCTTATGCTTGGAACTATGCCTACCCCATCCAGAGTGGGTCATACTGCTTCTTATCACCCCTGCTGATGCTAACCCTTTGCATCAGACCAGTCGTCTCCAGCGCTGGCCTGCCCTCCTAGCACAGATGGTATTTTCCTGAGGTCTAAGCAGCTTAGTGGCTTCCCAGTGTCCTGAAGGGATGGTACCAGCTTGCTACCCACACCTGCTAGCCCCTGCAGTCTGAAAGTGCTTGTCCTCTTCAGCACGGCCTGCGACTTCAAACCCTGTTAGTGCTGTGTAGTAGAGACAGAAGTCCATCTTGGGCTGGGCTGAGGTGGTAAGCAGGGGGTAGACAAGACCGGGTAAGTCTGAAAGTTTGTTCTCCTTGATCAAACTGAAAGATGCTACATCGAATGGACTTGGAACAGGTCCCAAGTGCTAGGCCCCAGGTCAGGCCAACCCTCACCACAGAGGGTCCCCTTGCCATCTGCCCCCAGGAACTTCAGAAGTCCACCCTAAACCCCTCTGACCTGAGGTGGTACCAGTGAGCCAAAAAACCCAGGCGCCTCTCAGGAGGCCCTAGCCGGTCTGGCTGGACACAGCATTTGAGGAATACAGTGCGTCCCAACGGTTCTAATTCTAGCACATTTGCTAACAGATTTGCACAGCTGTAAAGAGAACTGTACAGTGAGCACAGCCGTGATAAGACCTGCTCTGCACAGATGATGAGCCTGACGCCATCACTGTGCCAGGGACAGCTGCCTGTTGGCTGTTACAGGCAGAGTTAATGCCTGGTGCGTACAGAGATGGGCAGAGCGCAGTGTGCGACGGGTGATATCGGAGCAGCGCATGACTTTGAATGCACACTGCCAAGTCAGAGGCCATGTGTGCCTGCTGACAGCAGCTGTTTTGAGGGAGGGCCTGCCGATTGCTTTTCTATGTCCTTACTGGGGCTGTTAGCCCATTAGTTTAATTCGGAAAGCCAAGTAAGGCATTACACACAATGACATTGCGTGAGGGGCTGGAGAGATGGCGCAGCTGCTGTAAGCACTTTTCTTGCAGAGAACCTGGGTTTAGTTTGCAGCACCCACGTGGCATATCACAGCCTTCTGTAAGTCCGGTTCTAGGGGATCCAACACCCTCTTCTGACCTCCACAGGCACTGCACAACACAGATGCACTTACACGCAGGCAATACACTCATGCACATAAAAAAAAAAACAAAATACTTAAAGAAAAAAAGAGTCCTAAAGGATGTTTATTTAGAAAACTCGGCTTTAAGGAAACACATCTCCACATCTGCATAGCTCCTCAGACCTTAATTACACCAAAAAGTCCCCCTTTCACACGGGTGGGACATGAGAGACCCTAAATGTGGGCAGTCTCAGCCTGAACGATCGTTGATGCTCCTGATCAGAACCTGTCCTTTCCCACACATGACTAGGTTTGCGATCACTCAGGGTAGTTTGTGTGGAATTTTAAATTGGGGGTTTTCCTTACAATGTTTAGGACATACCTACCCCCAAGCCCATGTTCAGAGGCCAGTTCGGATACTGCCACGAAGCATGTAGATTACGTTGGTCACTAAGACTCATGGAGCAGGGGCAGCAGAACTCCCACTGGGATGCCACCACCAGCAAATGGCACTGTCATCATCGGTCACTACAGTGCAGATAGATCAGTGTAGAAAGTCTTTTTATTCTGGACCTGGCCCATTCTTCATCAGTCCACAGGAAGCACTCGTGGGCTGGGGGCCTCAGCTGCACTTGTTGGGAAAGGTAACATGTCCCACGCCTGAGCATGAACGGTGCCTGAGCCCAGGCTGTGCTGTGCGGGGCTTCTCGGTAGCTATTCCGGTATCTCGGTGTCTCGCAGCCACAGCCTGAAGAAGGCCGAATAGGAGTGTGGCTGGTCTTCACACTGGAATTACATAACTGTGCAAAACTTAGACTGGCCTGTGTCCCGGGACACCCCAAGCTGGTTTTTGTCCCGGACTAAGATGGCCTGGTTTCCATACTGAGAATACCACATGCTCCGGCTCCTGCTCAGGTAAGTACCAGGCGGTACAGATTCCAGCTGCTGCTGCTGCTGCTGCCAGACGAGCAGGGACGTGTCCCGGTACCGGAGGCGGGCATAGCGTTCTGACAGGGCCTTCTCTGCCAGGGGGGGCCGGCCACTCATGCCCCAGCCCCCGCACACCCCGCTGGGCCCACGCACACCCGCTTTGCACGGTTAACTGGCCGGCAGCCTTGCTGGCGTGGTTTCAGGAATCCTTGCTCAACTTACGCGTGGAAGTGGGGAACTCAGACTCCCTGCAGGCGAGATCCTCAGGGGCGCAGGGGACCCGCAGGCGCACTCTGAGGCCCCGGGAGAGCCATTCCAGGCAGCAAGCGGGTGCTGCGCCCCCCGCCCTGCGTGCCGGGGCTGGGCAGCGTGGACAGACCCCGCCCCGCTCCCGGGGGTCCCGGCGGGCGCGCACCGTGACTCCCACAGCGCCGGGCCTGGGATGCCCGCAGCGTCCCCGGGGAAGGCGCATCCCGCGGGGGGACAGGCCAGGGAAGCTCGGCGCAGCCGGCGCTGACCTGTCCACGCCGCTCGGAGCACCGTGGGGATCTGGACTCCGCCGGATCAGGTCCCTTCTCGTGGCCGGGCCTCCACTCTTCCCGGGGCTGATGCTGCAGAGGGAACGGGCCGTCGGGTCCGGAGTGGGGCGCGGACCCCGCGTGCGCCCCGCCACCGGGGAGGCCCGGGCCGGAGCCCAGTGGAGCGCCGGCGTGGGCCTCGCGATGGCCGCGGACACCAGTGGGCCGGGTGACGCAGGGGCTCCCGGGCCAGGGCGGGGTCCGGAGGCCGCGGCCACGTCTCCATGGCAGCGCCGCAGGCACGGCGAGCCGAGCGCGGAGGGCGTGCGTGCGTGTGTGCGTGCGTAGTTCGAGCGCTCGGCGCTCTGTGGGGCGGGGTGGGGCCCAGGACCCAGCGGGAGAGGAGGGGCAGTCCTGGGGGAGGGGGGGGAGCGGGAGGAGGGGAGGGGAGGGGGGAGGGGAGGAGCCGGAGGAGGCGAGGGGAGGGGGAGGGGAGGAGCCGGAGGAGGGGAAGGGGGGAGGGAGGAGGAAGAGCCGGAGGAGGCGAGGGGAGGGGGAGGGGAGGAGCCGGAGGAGGGGAAGGGGGGAGGGAGGAGGAAGAGCCGGAGGAGGCGAGGGGAGGGGGAGGGGAGGAGCCGGAGGAGGGGAAGGGGGGAGGGAGGAGGAAGAGCCGGAGGAGGCGAGGGGAGGGGGAGGGGAGGAGCCGGAGGAGGGGAAGGGGGGAGGGAGGAGGAAGAGCCGGAGGAGGCGAGGGGAGGGGGAGGGGAGGAGCCGGAGGAGGGGAAGGGGGGAGGGAGGAGGAAGAGCCGGAGGAGGCGAGGGGAGGGGGAGGGGAGGAGCCGGAGGAGGGGAAGGGGGGAGGGAGGAGGAAGAGCCGGAGGAGGCGAGGGGAGGGGAAGGGGAGGAGCCGGAGGAGGTGAAGGGGAGAGGGAGGAGTAAGAGCCGGAGGAGGCGAGGGGAGAGGGACAGGGAGGAGCCGGAGGAGGCGAGGGGAGGGGGGAGAGGAAAAGGGGTGGGGCTGGAGGTGGAGGAGAAAGGAGGAACCCATATTTCAAGCAGTGGAGCCCGAGGGGGTCGGGGGAGGAGGAAGAGGGGAGGGGAGAAGCCAGGGAGGAGGAGGAAGAGCCGTGGAGAGGGAGGAGGAGAGGGAAAGAGGAAGGGGCGTGTTGGGGGCGGGAAAAGGGAGGGATTCACTGGAGGAAAAGCCCAGGCGAGGGGGAGGAGCCTGGGGAAGACCCGGCGTTAGAGAGTGGGGTGAGAGCGCGGGAGGAGCATCTAGGGAGACTGGAGGGGAGCGGGAGCACGCGGAGTGAGGCGACGAGATTGGGGGAAGGAGCTGGGGAGGAGGAGGGGCAAGAGGAGGGGCGGCCGAAGAGGAGAGGGAGGAGGAGTTGCTGGGGGTGGTTGGAGGGCAGCTGTAGGGCACCGTCCCTGGCCTAGGCCCTGTCATTTTGCCTTTTTATGTTTGTTAGGGCTGACCCTTTATAGTCTGGTCTGGGAATCGAACCCACGGCCTTGGGCATGCTAACCCTTCTCTGAGCCACTCCCTCAGTCCTTTCGGATTCCTTTTGTGCAGTGACTGTCAGCACCATTGCGCCATTACTTTTATGATATCGCCCTTGTGATACGGATACCCTTGTTTTCAACGTATTTAATGTGTGGGGCGTTTCTAGAGTGGTGTGAAACATACAGCTCATTTTGAATCCCTGCAACAGTTCAGGAAAATCAGGCAAGTTTCCCTGCGCACCCGCCACCAACCAGACCCCACCTGGCATCCACTGTTTTCCTTCTTAAAGTTTTTCTTTTAATTTTATTATTTTTATTTTATGTGTATGCGTGTATTGCCTCCGTGTAGGTAAGTGCACCCACGTCGTGCAGTGCCCTTGGAGGTCAGAAGAGGCGGTCGGATCCCCTGGGACTGGAGTTACAACAGTTGTTAGCTGCCATGTGGGTGCTGGGATTCGAACCCCGGTCTTCTGCAAGAACAGCCAGTGTTCTTAGCTGCTGAGCCATCTCTCCAGCAGTTTCTCCAATGCCAGTTAAGAATACTGACATTGTGGACATCCCTAGAAAATGGAACCAAATTGCACAGCGCACTGAGCACTGGCCGGAACTGACTGCAGGCAGCATTGTGGAGAGGCTTTGGCCGATGCCGGATCCTTGAAACCTTCCACAAATAGGACAAGAAAAGCAGACTGTAAAATAACAGTAACAAGGCCTCGAGAGCCGGCTCGGCGGTTAGGAGCAGTGGCTGGCACGCACATGGTGCTAACAACCATTCATAACTCCAGTTCCAGGGGTTCCACACCCTCTTCTGACTTCTGTGGGCTTTGCACAACAAGGGTGTGCACTTGCATACATGCAGGCAATATACTCATATACATAAAATAAAAATAAAATATATTTTTTAAAAAATGCCAGGCATGGTGGTGCACGCCTTTAATCCCAGAGGCAGGTGGATCTCTATGAGTTCAAGGCCAGCCTGGTCTGCAAAGTGAGTTCCAGGCCAGCTGGGGCTACAGAGAGACCCTGTCTCAAAAAGACCAAAAAAAAACCAAAAAACAAAAAACAACTATGTGGTGGAGTGTGACTCAGTTATAGAGCCGTTCCATCCTACATGCATGAGAGATCCTGGATTCAATCTCCAGCACCACAAAAATAAATGTAATAGTGGTGACAATTAAAGGAAAACTCACACATTTGATCATAAAAAAACAAACAAACAAAAAAACCAACTCAGCCAGGCGTGGTGGCTCACATCTTTAATCCCAGCACTGGGGAGGCAGAGGCAGGTGGATGTCTGTGAGTTCAAGGCCAGCCTGGTCTACACAGTGAGTTCCAGGACAGCTGGGCTACAGGGAGACCCTGTGGCAAAAAGACCAAAAAGAAAAAAACAAAAACCCCTTATGTATATGGGACTGGAGAGATGGCTCAGTGGTTAAGAGCACTGGCTGTTCTTGCAAAAGACCCGGGTTTGAATCCCTGCATCCACATGGCAGCTAACACCTGTCGGAAACTCCAGTTCCAGGGAATTTGATGGCCTCTTCTGTCCTCCGCAGGCATTGCATGACACGGGTGCACTCACATACATGAAGGCGATACACACATACACATAAAATAAAAATAATATAGTTTTTAAAGAACGAAAAAACAGGGAAAATCTCAGACACAGCAGAAAGCAGCAGGAATAAACGTCATTAAAGACGCACACACTCACCCAGAGAGGGAAGCTTTCCACTGTCGGAGAGGGCAGTCAGAGACTGAAAAACCGAACGTCCCCAGGAGGGCTTGGCCTTGTAAGTGTTTTTGCTGGAATAGGGCAGGTTCCCTCCCCTAATTTTGGATTACTCAAAGAAGAGAGGGCCCATAGACCACGGCTCCAAGCCGAAGGAAATATGCCAGATCTGGCTTTGGTCTTACATAAACTGGTCTGGACCGGTCAGCTGGAAAAGGGACCCTGCTGGCACAAGAAAAAGCCTGCCAGATCTTTGTCTCGGATGAAGAAGCAGGAAGCATGCCCCCTTTGTTACTCATCAGGGACTTTTTTTTTGGTCTTTTTGAGACAGGATCTCCCTGTAGCCCCAGCTGTCCTGTAACTCACTCTGTAGACCAGGCTGGCCTTGAACTCACAGAGATCCACCTGCCTCTGCTTCCCGAGTGCTGGGATTGAAGGTGTGTGCCACTACGCCTGGCAGTTTGCTTCTTTTTCAGAAATATTTTATTTATTGGTATTTTTGTATTTTATGTGTATGAGTGTATTGCCTGCATGTATGTAAATGCACTCATGTCATGCAATGCCTGTGGAGGTCAGAAGAGGGTGTCAGATCCCCTGAAACTGGAGTTACAGATGGTTGCTAGCCCCCATGTGGGTGCTGGGAACCAAACCTGGGTCCTCTGAAAGAGGAGCCAGTGCTCTTAACCGCTGAGCCATCCCTCCAGCCTGTTTACTTCCTTAGATCCTTACGTTCTCCCCTTTGAAGAGGTAACCCTACTGTCATTTAGGACATGCCCTGAAACTAAGGACTAGATGTACCTGTTTTTACCATGAAAAACAAGAGATCTGGTTTCTGAGCTTTTTCCCCTGAAGGGATTAATGTCTGGAGTTTTGTTTTCCATTTTGTTGTATAGCCTGTAGATTAGAAAACAAGGATGTTTTGGGAACTGTTGTTTTGGGGGTCCCTGCTTTGAACTGCCTATCCATTCTCTACCCCTTTCCTCACCACTGAATGATGGTTACAGGGGCTGTGGTGTGGGAGAGATGGAGGTGCAGGTCACAGGACATAATGGTTCACTTATAAGATGAATTCACAGCTACAGGGAGTGACCTCGTTCATCAATAATGTGCTTTGTGCTTGAAATCTGCTAAAGATGGGATTCCAGTTGCTCTCAGACACATGTACACATACACACACACACACACACACACACACACACACACACACAGTGCTTGTGAAGGCTGCTGGTCAACCTCAGGTGCTGTTCCTCAGGAAGCATCTACCTTGGTCTTTTATTATTATTTTTATTTTTATTTTATGCATGTGTTAATGTCTACATGTGCATAAATGCACCTGTGTCATGCAGTGCCTGTGGAGGACAGAAGAAGGCGTCGGATTTCCTGGAACTGGAGTTACTGACAGTTGTTAGCCACCATGTGGATGCTGGGATTTGAACCCAGGTCTTCTGCAGGAACAGCCAGTGCTTTTACCCGCTGAACCATCTCTTTAGGCCTTACCTTGTTCTTTTGAGACAGAGTCTCTCACAGGGGCCTGGAGCCCATCAGTTGGGCTATGCTGGCTGCCAATGAGCTGCAGAGATCCTGTCTCTGCCTCCCTGGTGCTGGAATTACAGGTGCACACTACCATGCCCTAGTGCTGGAATCTGGACTTAGCCCTTATGCTTGTGCAGCAAGCAGTTTACCCACTGAGCCATCTCCCCAGCCACTTAGTTGTTTTTGAGACGGGTCTCACTATGTGGCCCTGGCTGGTCTGGAGCTCACCTTCCTGCCTCTGCCTCCCAAGTGCTGTGATTTACAGGCATGCACTACCGGGCTGCCCTGCAAACATATTCCTTCTGGAGCTCTTGACCTTCCAACCAAAACCCCAGCGACTGCAAAGCATTAATGTATCGACTGCTTTTCTGTTGCTGTGATAAAACACCATGACCAAGGAAACTTACAGAAGAAAGAGTTTATTTTGATTTATGGTTCCAGAGGGATAAGAGTCCATTGTGGTGGGGAGATGT